ACAAAGTCTCACAATTTCACTAAGTCCATAATTTCGAACCCCTCGGCAAACATATGCACCGGGGGCTCAGGCAGTTCCCACACTCGAAGGATTCGTTACAACACCAGTTGAAAGTTGGTGAGAAAATGACTTCCACAAATGTGGACCCTTCGGTAGGGCTATTCTTCACCTACAGACTCATGGCCGACGGCCCCCGGCCGAGAGTCACGCTACTATAATGAGGGCCTGCAATGCAACTAGTTTTTACTTAGAATATTTTCTAAGTCCACAATGATGAGCCCCGGCGAATCTACAGTGCAGCCGAAGGCTGTGGCCAGGTTCTACTTAGAAAATATTCTAAGTCCACAAAGTTTTGCCCTCTGCCAAACATACGGAAGGAAACAAAAGCATACATTCATACACGGAGGCAGCAAATTGAAACACAAGCGCAAAAAGGACGAAAGGCATTCATTCATAAGGAAAAGGAACGAAGGCAGACAAAACATGGAGGCACATTCATTCATATAAGAAGCCCGGAGGCATATTGCATTCATTAAAAAAAAACAGTGTTAACAAAGGATGTTTGTTTACAAATAAGGCCGAGGCCGAGGCCTACAACTATTACATCAAAATATGGCAAGTAAAATCTCAAGCCTGGCCCCCCCCGGTGACGTCATCCTTCAGTTTCGAGGCTGCATCATCCTCAGCTTCTTCCTCATCATCCGAGGCCAGCTTGTCCATCTCTGAGTCCTCGAGCAAAGGCCTCTCCTCGCCTTCGGGCATGGGGGTTTGGAGGTCAGGAAGCAGAGGGGGAAGACCAAACGGGGCCGGGTCGAACTCTTTCGGGTCCACCCCATGGTGCCGGGCCAACTTGCGATAAATCAGGGCTTGAGTGAAGTACTGTCCGCCTTCGAAGAAACTTTTGCCTTTCAGCGCCAACCACATGGCCCCGGACCCCTTCACCCAGCCATCGGCAGAAGCCTCCACCACTGAGGCCACCCACTGCTTCTGCTCTTCGGCCTTCCAGCCGTCGGCAATAAAAGCCGCCACCGCCTCCTCCCTGGCCTTAGAGATAGCTTCCGCTTTAGCCTCCTCAGCCTTCTCGGCGGCTATCCTAGCGGACTCAGCAGCGGCCCTCTCGGCTTCAGCTTTCCCCTCGGCCCGGGCTTCCTCCTTGGCTGCCTCCAGTTTCTTCTCCGCCTGCCGGAGGGCCTCCTCCAAATTCGCCAGCTGCCGAATGGCCTCAGTATTGTTGGCCACCAGCTTCCTCGTCACCTCGGCGGATTTAGCCCTCTCAAGGCGATGCTGCTCCGCCCTACGAACCAGTTCCCCGAAGGCCAGGCTCGCCTGCAAACATATAAGGAGGCACTCAATATCAGATTGTTCAAAGGAAAGAAAAGAAAAGAGGGATTAAGGGCGCAAAAAATCTAAACACTTACGGTGGCCGAAGCTTGGAGAGCCTTGAGTTCGAGGGCTTCATCCCCAAACCGGCTGAGGGTGGACCGATCTACCGAGGGAGTGGCACCCTTCAAGAACTCCCTCGGGTCGAGGGTGCCATGCATGATGGCTGTTCCCTTTTTGATTGGGAAGTGTACAGTCTCAAGGGGCCAGGCCCCCTCGACAAGATCCTCCAGGGGAGCAGAGGCTGACGGTTGGCCGGCGGGGGGATCGTCAATGATCACCAGGGGGGTATCCTTTGGCTCAGCGTCCCCCTTCGATTTCTTCCTTTCCGGAGGCTTGACGCCCTTCCCGGCGTTTTTCCGCTTGAGCTCCCCCTCCTTGGAGCCTCCGGCATCAGTACCGGCACCAGCGATTGCAGTCCCCTTCGGGGGGCCTTGGCCCTCAGGGGTCTCCTGCTTCTTCAAAAGGGCATCCACCTGCGGTTGCGTCGGAGGCCTCTCCTCCTTCTTCTTCTTATCCTTGGCCAGTTGCCGGGACAGCTTAGAGAAAGCTTTCGGATCCATGAAATCGCCTGCAAAAGAACAAGAAGGAGTTAGAATCAAAAGCAAATCAAAGACTTACGTCTCTAAGCACTAAACAACAAGGGCCCTCGGCAACCACCTCTGATACCCGGAGAGCCCCGGTCAAGGAGAGGATATCTCTCATCCTTCTCCCCCGGCAAGCGATACCGCTGAAATTCTAATTTGAGCAGCTCCTCCGGAAGCGTGGCGGCCTTGATAGTCGTCAGCTTTTCTGAACCAGGCGGCTTCGCCTTCAGCTTTCTCCCATTGGCCTCAAGGGCAGTGTTGCCCACCTTAGGGTGTCTCTGAAAATGGTTGCGAAGAGGCCTCGGGAAGGTCACTCCCGGCATCCTGAGGTAACAGAAACGGTCCCTCCATCCCTTGTGAGACGAAGGCACCTCCGAGAAAAGCCTCCACGCCGGCACTTGTTGGAGGTTGGCGAAGCCCTCGCTATTGGCAGCACCCCCTCGACACAGGTTGAAGGATAGAAAAAATTGATCCAATGTGGGGACAACCCCTCGGCTTCGACATTGCGAGAGAAACCCTGTGATGTACGAATGACTATTCGGGGTCAGTTGGCAAGGAGCGAGACCCACGAACCGAAGGTATTCCACCAGAAAAGGGTGGAGCGGGAATCGGAGACCCAACTCCACCGAAAGGATGTGCACCGCGTAACAGCCCTCTGGAGGATGCAATAACACATCGTCAGGCCCCGGAACCACCACCTGTGCCGACGGACCGACCAACAGTTGAATTTTGAGATACTCCGCCTCCCCGGCCTTCGTTTTCAATTCGAGGGCGGCGGTGTTGAGATACGAGTGGCCCTCGGGTATTCCCACCGGCTGACCTGCGTCGATAGCAGCCTGCTTCTTCTTCGTGGCCGCCTGGGTCTTCTTCTTCTTTTTCCCGGGAGCGACGCTTATCGGTTCCGGATCTAGGGGCCGGGAGCTACTGGCTTCGCCGGCGCCACGAAGGGGGAGTGCGGCGACGGTCACCCTCTGCCGCTCTTTCTCCTCCTCTTCCTCGGCGACTTGGAGCGCGAGGGCAAGCTCTTCGTCTTCCGCCACCTGCTCGAAGTCCTCCGCCTCCAGCTCAGTCCGAAGGGTGTCTTGGACTTCCTCGGCGATGGCAGCGTCATTGTTGACCGACGAGTGGTCACTTGAGGACTCAACCTCGGAATAGCTCTCCGATTGAACCGGGGCCTCCACGGAAATATCTTGGGAGTCGCTGGCCGAAGACATCTTCTCGAGAACAGGGAAAAGGGGGAATATAAGAGAACTAACTGGAGGCTCCTAAGTATTCCCTAACACTAGATTTAAGGCCAGTGAAGCGAAATACGCTAAGTGTGTGGGAAAGGAGGAAGAACTGACCTCAAAGATTGCGTTTGATCGAAGGCTGAAGTTTCTCTCTCTAGAAAAAATGGCAGAGCTCCGCTATCTCTCTAAGTTCGCACAAGAACAAATGAGCTCAGGCTCAGGGTATTTATAGGCAGTGGGCCTCGAGAACTGGGCCTCGATTTGAAAAGCCCATCATTACGGGCCGCCGCCTCAGCCAATGAATGACAGCCGCCCACCCCCAACCAACAAGGGCACGCCACGTCAACCCCTCCTCCAACGGCTATATTACAACGACTATATTCCGGCACCACTGAAGTGCCTTCGAATGATAGCCTCCGGCTATCACCCGCCACACCCTACGGACAAATAATTCCACCAAACGCCTTCGAGCCCGTAGCAGTATAAGCCTTCGGCTTGTCAATGTTATCACCCCTCGGGGGATCATCAACTCATCATAACTCCTTCAGCCCGAACTTGCCTTCGGCCTAAAGGAGTGGGAGACTGGGATACACCCCTCGGGGATCATACACAACCAAAAATTCTTCATGCAACAATTTACAATTGACGCATACGGCCTCCGGGCAAACATCACAATACATGCAGACAAGACATCTATGCTTTCCTCAGAAAACCCTCGACGTGTGAGGGACTGAGGGGGAGCCCCCGGCGAACATACGAAGGTTACGAGTACCTTCCCTCAGAAAACCCTCGACATGTGGGGGACTGAGGGAAGCCTTCGGCAATCAACAGAAGACAAGTTCTCAAACAAAGGCACCCAGACAGGCGATGAAGCCCCCGGAAGAATCATCACATCTACTCCTTTTCCCTCAAGTACCTTTCGGCAAAAGGAGTGAGGGACTCCTGATGGAGTATATGGCCCAGGAACCCCCGGCCCAAAGACTCCTACTAATCTATCACAAGCCCAACAAGCTCAAGGAGCTCAGGAGGCCCAAGATTCGGCGGCCCAAGCGTCAAGAAGGCCACGGTACACACAGGGATGCCTTCGGCCACCTTGGCCGAAGGCTCCAGAACTCACAGAACCGCCATATTCGACCATGCGAAGCTACTGGGAGAAATTGACAGAAAACGGGAGCCCTCGGCACTATGGAGCCCTCGGCACCAGGGGAATCCCTCGGCTCAGCCAAGCCTTCGGCTACACAAGGAGCCCTCGGCTACGCAAGAAGCCTACGGCTGAACTAGCTCAATCATCGAAGATTCCTTTTAGAGACAGCCAACCACCGCATTTAATGCCACGTCGCATCCGCCAACCGCATTCAATGCGGTTGACGTACCACTGCCGGTGCCACTAGGCTGATGTGACCCTTCGGCCGTTGGATTACTGACACGTGTCCTCTCATCGCATTTATTGCTGCTATAAATAGCAGCCCATTCCTCCTTGTAATCGACACAATCTACATCTCAACTCCACATCTCGAGTTCATTTAATAAAATCGACTCTCTCTCCTCCTATTTTGCTCTGACTTCTCTCTAAGTTATTCCCGCAATAACCCCTCGGATAAGATACCCCCGGGTAGACTATCCATCAAGCTGGTTCCTACTTTTGCGAAGTTCACTCTCTGATGATTTCATTCCATCAGTAAAAACATATGAACTAGTAGAATTAATTAATCATCTCCACAAAAGATGAACTTGTATAAAATGATAAATATGGATCAACACCGCATACTTCATGTTATTCACTTACTAGTATTATTATCATTACCTGTTGATACACACGACAATATTTAGTTTCGACGCCTTTGTTGCTACAACGGCTGATTGATTTTGCAGATGTAGGCGGAACCCATGGCCGAGTGTAACGAACCCTTGGGTGGCTAACCTTTCTAAACTCAACACCACCAGTTGCTAAACAAAGAAGAAAAAGGTAAAGCCAATTAAAAACAAGGTAATTGAGGCAAGTGAGGCAAAACTTGTCACATGGGAAACGTCCACAACAAAGTGACAGCTTACAAAAATGATGATTGGCTTTTTCACCAACTTCAGAACCACTGCTAGAGTCATTAAAGTCATAATCATCATCTTCTTCATCTCCAGTGGGAGCCTCAAGCACACTCAGAGCATTCCTTTGGAGCTTCACTTCAACACCATTCTTCAGAACCTTCAATGTTTAATATACTTAACAAATTACTCAGCAAATAGGCTCCACAATAAGCGGTAAGAACCAGATAAAACATCAAATTCATCATAATTCATAAACCCAAACTCAATTTTTACTCTCTTCATCCCTACATTATCTTCAGAGTTTTCTTTTTGTCTCTTCTAAATACATCTAAATGAATCAGTTTTAATTTTCCTTAATCTCAGTGTCGAATTGAAGAGGACATTCAAATGGGGACAGGTAATATGGCTGAAGGGGACAAAATGGCCATTCTTCACATCCAAAGTGAAATAAAAAATAGATAATAGGAAAAAAGAATCTTCAAATAATCCAAATTGTTTTCTGTTTAATTTCATTGTCAGTCACATGAATAAAATCCATCACCCATGCTTAGATGTGGAAATAACATGTGGAGGGCAGTAAGGTAACCTATTTCAACATTTTACTTTTTTAATAAAAAAAGAAATCAAATTTTCCTAAAGCTATAATAATACCAATATGTATTTGTAAAGAAAAACGGGCTTCTCCACTTACTGCCAATTGGCCAATAAGGTAGTAGCATCGAGATTGAGAAAACAGAGTATTAATAAAAAGGAATCACATACACACATAGTCATGCAATAGGTAAAGATATGCAAACCAGGGAAACCATAGAAACATAAAAGGTTTATGAGCAATACCAGCCAATGCCAACCGCCTAGTCCAACAGCCTTCTTGACAACACCCTGCAGTCCCAGCAGAACACTCTTTGTTCTATTGTTTCCTGTCACAATGACTTTTGTGTGCCTTGGAAGAACAGACAGTTCTTCATCGCCACTCTCCTCACAAAAAGGTAATAATACCCGAGTAGAACATATTCCAGTCCCCATGATTTCGTTAACGCAATATGTACTCTTATCCAACGAACAATAGGGATCAACTAAGTAACTCTTTGAGCTCCGTAAAAATTGCTGAAATTTTACAAAAAAGTAGAAATCTTTGTTAGTTACTTGATTCTGAAAAAGAATTTGGACCGGAAACGAACAGATTACCAATTAGTACAAATAGATATGGAAATAGTCCATAATTCGTCCAACCTCCTCACTTCAGCTTTTTCAATTCTGCTTTAAGCTAGTACTGTACTCCATATTATTTAATATGCAGAATAGCCAACTTTAAAAAAAACTTGAAAATCAAATTTAGAGAACCAAAAAGTAATTCAGAGCATGATAGTGCACTGTGTTTAAGGGAGACTGTAAATGTTTTGAAAAACTGGCAAGCTGACATAAAAATTACAATGGAATGTTGAATGCCATCCAACAAGGATAATTGATCACAAATGCAAGGGAATCACGGACAAAGTTTGGTTGCAATAAATGACAAGTACATCATCCTTCATCAACTAAGTTACAATAATTATGAACCCATATACATGGATGCACAGATACAAGCAAAAATTTGAACTCCAAAGCAACAAAAAGTAAAAAGTAACCTAAAGTAAGATAATTTAAAGATGGATACCCATCACTCTATTTTTTCATCACGCTTTCTTAATCACTGCCCCTTGAACTTACATTAACAATTTCACAGCCCTAACTTCTACTAAATCACTACGAAATGAAAATCAAATATGTTATGTTTCATAAACCTTTAATTAAGTCGTAATTGGCTTGCGAAAACATTTGGTAGAACCAAGTATAATCATGCGGGCACGCGAGCGTAGCACTGCAAACCGGAAACCCAGAGAATTCGGTCAATTCAAATTCTTAGCAAGCCAAATTAGCATCCGAATTTAGTTCGGGTGAAGAAAAAACTAAGAAAGCAAAAAAAAATCAAAGCTTGTGTTTTCCGTATCATCTAGTGATACAAATTCAAACACCCATCGCAATCCAAACGTGAAGACCAATAAAGTAATGCCGAATTAGCCGGAATGTGTTTGTACCTCGATAAAGGTAGTGTGAACACATAAACGGCGCTAAAGAGCAGGGAGACGAAATGCGTCTTCTCTCAGAGTGAGATTACAGTACAAACAGGGGATTCAGTTGCCGAAAATTCCAGTTCTGCAGCGAGATTACGCTGAAATGCTACTCATCTGTGAGAAAATTGCAAGAATTTTGAAATGAGAAGAGACTTAGTATATACAGGTAGATATATACACTACACAGAGGCAGGGAGAGGGAGAGCATACACTAAATGCTTGCCAACTGCCATTAGAATAGAAACGACCTGCTTGGATGAGAGAGAGTGGAAGAGAGACCGGGTAGAACGGTCACCGCTTTTGACTCTTTTTTTGCCGGGCTCAGATTCCGGGTCGACGAGTCGGGCCGGATGTAGTAGCGAAGCTGATTTTGTCTGATTCTTCTTCACACAAGTAAGGTTTGGCGTGTCCGGTGAATCCATTTTCCTTTTTACCTGTCTGGTCCGATCTCGTCGTACAAAGGGCATCAGAAAGATTTTATCCTCTAAAGCACGGCAAGAGTACAGGTAAATTTTGGATTTTTTATTTTATAATGATTTGATTTGAAATTTATTCGACATGGTAGGTCGGGAAAAGGGGGAGAAGTCCACTACAGTACTATTCCCCGATCTAAACGCCAAATGTGCCATGCTTTTGTTCCCTGTCAAACAATTTTTAAGCATGTTTTTGGAGAACCAAAATAAAAGAAGGATTACGTAGTGAGAAGAATTTGAGAATAGTGTTGAATGACATGGGAGTATCCAAGGAAGATAAATGAGACCATTTTCATTTTGGCTTATCAGGCATATCAGCCAACTTTTTAACCAAATTACGAAGTAATCAAAGAGTAATTTTTATGGGAGTAATCAAGGAAGATTTAACTTCTACTAAATCACGGGGTAATTTTTACTTCTGTGCGCTGAATTGTCTAAAATCACTTCAAAAAAACACTTTTTAAAATAGAAGCAATCGCAAATACTTCCTTGTAATCCAAATTTGTATCAAAACCTAATGTTGCAAAAAAAAACTCCATAGCATGGATGGAGTATTACCCGTGGAGGACGTAGGGGCGCATCCATTGAGGCGAAGCGCCCTCGCTTCTACTCCCAAAAGAGAGTTGTACTATGTACTCCCCCTGACCCAAATCCCAATATTAACTCCTAATCAAATTTGGCACACAGATTAAATCACACATTCTTTGTCAAAAGGGGAAGAAGATTTTATATTGGGACGGACGAAAAAGAAAAGAATGAAGATAATATTGGGACGGAGGAAGTAGTACATTGTGATAGAATTTCGGGGTAATTTGAGTTTGCACCCCGTTTTATTGTCCAAATTGGACTTTGTACCCCGTTTTTTAAAATCTTTGTTTTTGCACCCCAATCCCATATGAAAAGACAAAAATGCCCTCGATCAGGAACATGTTGAAGGCCAACAGAATTGTTAATGGAGGGGCATTTTTGTCCTTTCATATGAGGTTGGGGTGCAAAAACAAAGATTTTTAAAAACAGGGTAAAAAGTCCAAGTTAGACAATAAAATGGAATGCAAACTCAAATTACCCCTAGAATTTCCCTCCCGCTTCAAAAGCGGTTGAGCTATACGTAGATTAGTTATTATATGAGTGTTAGACTCGGGAAAACTATTAAATAGATCTCCGTACTATATTGAAAATGTCGATTTAATTCTCGTACTATTAAATCAACCAATTAAGTCCCTCGATTATTAAAAGAATACTCAATTTTGATTTTCAATCAGTTTGTTATGAATTTCACCGGTGATAGCTGACTTGGACATCCACGTGGAATTTTTTCTTTTTCTTTTCCTTTTTGTATTCCTTCCTTTCTCTCCTTTCTTCTCCCATGCTCCACCCGTACGTCTCCGACTCTGCAACTCTTTCTTCTTTCTTTAATTCTTACATTCTTTTTTCCTTCTTTACAGGTGTCCCCTAGCATGGATTCTGACGGATTCTAATGGAATTTAGAATTCTATCGAATTTTAGGTGCTCCGAGTTTGGGTTTCTATGGAGTCTATGAAAGTATGACTGTTCTCAAACATTCCATGGATTTCTATTATTATTTATTTGAATGGATTTTAAAGGATTTTGATGGAAATATACATGTAAAAGATCTCATTACAAAAAATGGCCACACCCCCCAGGTTTCAAATCCTAACAAGAACAAACAAAGAGGAGATGCGGAAGAGAGGCCGATAAAAAAGACGTGATTGACCAGGTTTCACACCCGCCGATGGAAGAAAGTTGCAAGATAACCAGATCCATGGCTCCCGAGGTTGCCGGCAAATTACGCATGCTTGGGGAGGATTGAGTCATCCTCTGTCTCAGAGGGGGATTACGAATAAACGAGCTTGAAGCTTTTGTGGCATTTTTCTCATTGGATTCCATGTCTACCAAGTGGATGATGACATCATTCTTTGTTTCAGATGCAAAGACCACAAGCTAGGGCGGAGCCACAACGCTGGGCCAAACTGGTTGATGCAAATAATAATTTTGAAAAACTTTTTACACAAAACCTTTTACACTAAAAATATAGACGTTTTTAAAATTTGACGTGGGTCGGGGCCTAGTTTGCCCATCCCCCTAGCTACGCCCCCCGACCACAAGGGTCACATGACAAGAAAGACAGGTTTAGAAAGAATTAAGATCTCCATAATGAGAAGGAAATCTATCACTTGGGGGAAGAAGAACTCGGTTGTCACTACTACTCATTTTTCTCACCCTCCCTAACTGAGTTTCCTTATGTTTTGAGAGGACGGAGTTTCCTTCAAGTTTTTTTTTTACAAAAGAGGGGTCTGACTTTAAAGAGGAAATTGATCGCAAAGAAAATCATCCTTTAAATTCATAGGAAATCGTCCTTTTTGGAAAGGAAAGTCAATTGTGAGTGCACAAGTAGGGGGCTAATTCTGCCATATTGAAATTCATTATTAAAAGCCATGAAATTTACAATATTTAAAAATCCATTAAAACCATTGTTAAGGAAACTCCCTTCATTCTCTCTCCTTGATTTTCTTGTTCGACCAGCAACTAGCTGGCAAACCCAAGACCCGTTTCTTCCTTCTTCTGCAAAACCACCCAACTCATAACAACAACCATTCCATTCTCTGAGACTATGTTGGGGGGGGGGGTGAACACAGAAATAAACTTATGGGTAAACTTGTGGATTTGATGGAGAACTTCAACAACCTCTGACGGGAGTTGGATTAAATATATCCACCCCAACAATGTTTTTTAATTAAATAATTCTTTTTAATATTACACATCAATTTGTTTGCCAATTTGTTTTGCAAGTAATTCTGTTTTAAACTTATGGGTAAACTTGTGGATTTGATGGAGAACTTCAACAACCTCTGGCGGGAGTTGGATTAAATATATCCACCCCAACAATGTTTTTTAATTAAATAATTCTTTTTAATATTACACATCAATTTGTTTGCCAATTTGTTTTGCAAGTAATTCTGTTTTAAAATATCAAACATTCTGATGTAAGAAAATGAATTAAGAGTTTTATTTTGTTACTTTGGATCTATTTTGAAAAAGGTAAACGAAAGATTTAAAAAAATCACTAATTTTAACACTTGGATCTATTTTAGTAAAAAAAGAAATTGGATCTAAAAATTTCCAACAATTGAAACTTCATTTTCCTAAAACATTATATACACAACTAGATTGTTTACCCGTGTGTTGCACGGAATGCATATGTTATATGTTTAACCATGTCATTAGATAACAGTGGAAATCTAATGAATAGTTTAACTAACTCGGATTTACATATGTTAAAAATTTGGAATGAATTTTTCAGAGCACAAAGTTGGATAAAGTTGGAATCACTTCGTAATAATAAAAATACTTTTTATTAGATATATAAATATTTTGTTACGTATTTGTGTTTATAAAATATACTACCTTCGTCTCACTAACATTGGGACATGAGGAGGTGACACGGTTATTAAGAAAAGTGAGTTTTTGTTATTGATAAAGTACGAATGATTTAGAGCCACACAAACTTTACCAAATTTGGAATGTGAAAATCTTAGTGGGACTCCCTGAAAAGGAAAAATGGGACAATCTTAGCGAGACGGGTGGAGTAATAACAAAGGATTCATGCAATTGAGGAACTCTTATTTGGAGTGATTGGATGCATTGTAACTCTTATTTTTTAATAGGTATGAAACATTAAATGTCTAATTGGAGGGAAAAGCAAGATGTCACACCTTGTTACTTTATATTATTATAGATATCGATTTCATGTGAAAGATCATGACATTTTAATATTTTTTGTAAAAAGTGGAGCACAATTAAAAAGTTATAACACTAAAGAGAATATAAATTTTACTCCCTCCGTTCTTTTTTATTAGTCCTTCTTTACTTTTTGGGACGTTTTTTTTATCTGTCCTCCTTTCCATTTAAGGAAAGTTCTTACTCTAAATATACATTTATACCCCAACTTTTATTACCATTACCCTTTTCTCTTTCTTACTTTTTCATTTACTCACTACTCATTACACCTTTTACACTACCTCTACTACTTTCCTCTTAAAACCCGTGCCAAAGCCTAAGAGGACTAATATTAAAGAACGGAGGGAGTAAGTTTTACTGGGTTTTGCGTCCAGTTATCTCTTTCGCGTGCAACTTTTTCTCAGCCCCTCCTTCCAGCAACAAGGGAGTGAATATGGTTGACAAATACCCCACCCAGGGCGGAGGGTGTAGGGAATTTTCACCATCTTTCTTGGAAGTTGCCAAGAGGCATCTCACACCTTCTTGGAAGGAGGTCTCCAACATATGAACATGGTGAAGATATGGAGATAACTATGGAAGCTTGGATGCAACTTCCTCTTGTCTCCAAACCAGCCTACAAATAGAGTGTTCTATTGTCGTTCATATCATCAGTTTTAGAAAGTGAGAAAAGTGTGTGAAGAGTGAAATACACTTAGAGTAGAAGTGTATTGGTGAGAATTGGTTTTTGTAATAGTTGAGTGTGAGAGTTTGTTCCTCCTAATGTAATTCTGTTCTTGGTATTGAATAAAAGAATTTTCAATCCCAACAAGTGGTATCAAAGCGAGGTTGAGTTTCCATACACTGTTTTCTCATTTTCAGATAAATTTCTACAGGTTAGAAAATCGTGATTTTTGAAGTTGTTCGAAATCACGATCTGATCATACCGTTAGATTCGTCTCGTCGAGACGAGAAATCTGGTATTTTTGGGGATTAATTTTGGCCACCGGAAGAGGCCGTATGCGCCGCCCAAATGCAGCGTGAAACTGCCTGCATCATCACTGCGGCATCATGTAGTCCATAGGAAGAAGACGAGCCACGTCAACCGCCACGTCAGCGCCGCGTCAGCACCATGTCAGCCCACGTTATCGTCCACGTCATCCACTTATTTGTCCTCCTGCCGCCACGTCAGCAGCCACGTGGCGCCATGTCAGTGCCATAACAGTTTCCAGCTGTTGCCACGTCATCCGCCTGCTGGTCTGCCCACTGGTTTGCTGCCTGAACCGGATTGAACCGGTTCGTAGTTGTGGAGGCCGGTTCACCCATTTCCAGACCGGTTTTGGACGAGGTCAGACCGGTTCCTACCATTTTCGGCCATTCCGGATCCAACGGTGAGCTCTGTTTGTCCTAATTCGGCTTCGAAAATAAGGTACGAGATATATTGAGTGTTTTATTATGGATAAATCATCATCGGACACCATGATTGC